AGTTCCTGGAACGAAGTAAATTTCATGATGTATACCTCTATCAGGTGGTAAGATAGATAGTGTGTTGTGACACACCACATCTAGAAATTCCTTAACCAAAAGCTTAAATGGATCCAAAGGATCGTTAAGGATCGAAGATCCACTTCGCGCACTGAGTGCCGCCTTAGCGTCCTCTAGGACAGACTCATCCATTAACGAGGACGAGTTCAACTCGACATCGGGTTTAATGACCACTAATTCGGATAAATCTCCTGCCTTTAAGGCCTGGCTAAACTCGCCATTAAACATTTCGTCTAGCTCACACAGAGCATCCAAAGATAGAAGGGTTTCCAGGCTAAAATTGTCATCTACCTGACTGGTCACTCCATTCACAAGCGTATATAGTGTATTACTGTTATCGCGCAGTGAATGTGTGTACGCCTGGTACTTCACAGTTGCCACCTGACGTCCAGGTCGTCTCTTGGAGACCTTACACCCCTTGGGGGTCGGGACACTACTGCCCCCTTTATTACTACTAACAGTAGTGCGCTCTATACTAGATCCGATGTCTTGATCGACATCCGGTGAAGTGTTACATAACTCGAACTCTTCACCAGTCGATTTCCACGTACCACTCCACGTACATTATGCGGGCCGATCCCCGAACCTAACGGCGTTTCGCCAACAACGTCATTACCGACATTAAGTGTGGTGCCCTCAAGGCCGCCCACACTCGGTGAATTTCACGTGCCACCTCACGCACATCAAAGGAATCATTTTCTTGATAATCCGGCCCTAGGCCAACCATGCTTTCAGCATGCAGTGAATCGTTATCACAACGAGTAACACTCGACGGAGTACGTGCCGTATCACCGATACAAAACGTGCTACGCTCGGAATCTATGTTTACAACATTGGAGTGAGACAACTTAGACATTCCAATGTCCAGAACATGGACACCTTCTGCCAAAGGCTCGCGCCAGTAGTGCTTCTGTTGCCTAGCGAAGGTGATTTCATGACTCTCCAAAATTTCACTAGGAACGTTGCGTGTGGCACCTAAGGTCTTAGACCTCCAATAAATCCATGGCTCATGGTGTTCAAACCAAGCCATACCGAGGATGAGATCATATATCGAGTCCAAATCAAGGACAAGACAGCGTTCAATGCTGTCAAAGTCTAAAAGCTGTATACCTAAGTTCAATGGAACTTTAGGCACAGTAAAACGACTTCCAGTCGCTAAACGAACCGTGGTCGAATCACCCTCATGCGCTGTAAGCGCCTCAGCATAAAGCTGACTCCCCTCAAGGGAACGAAGTCGAGCATAATTGCAAGACGCTACAGAGTCGATCAATATCGACCAAGGCCTCTTAAAGCCCTTATTTTTCGCCTCGGCGACTAACAAGCCAGACTTGTATCCACGCTCCATACCAATAGGTACGTAGCACTTTGGGGCCAAGCTCTGTCTAACTTTACCTCCTAAATGTGTAACAGAGCCCAGTTGTTTCCCAGTAGGGCGCCCGCGCCTACTGGGCGTCGGCATTTTCCCGTGCCATGCCATACTTCTGGCTCGGGGTTGAGTGTTGGCTTGTAGCCTGACGCTGTTTACGCAAAGTGCAACCAAGCCGCAAGTGTTTAGTGCTTCCGTACGTAAAGCATCGTCGTACGAAGCGTTGCTGCTCAGCAGCTTGAAGTTCAACTTCACCTTCATCTTCAGCATAGCTGCGATCCATCGGTTCCGGCGTATTAAAGGCTGGACCACTCGTGGAGTTTGCTCTCGCAGAGAAAGGGTTGTACCCATTCCATCCAAGGCTGACCGACTTGAAGTTATGCTCAGCATTAAGAGCAATTTCCACGGCCTCTTCGAACGTAGAGGGGTGAACTCGAAAAACTTCGGTTCTGGCAATGCGAGTACGAAGACTTTCCATGAAGATAGTCACATGAACTGCCTCGGGCAGAGGGTCATACTGCATTGCAGCCATGAGAGCTATCAACTCTTGGACATATTCCGATAACTCATCCTTACCCTGAAGGGTTGATAAAAAGCGTGAACGCTCGCGGTAAGCTTGGTTAGGTGGTGAGAACAACCGTTGTAAGTGTGACTCTAGCGACTCCCATGTGGGGAATGCTAGGTCAACCGACGTGCTACACGTCAAGGCCCATTCTCTAGCTCTTCCGTCGAGCTTTGAGATAGCCAGCGAGACCTGTTGATGGTCAAGATTGATCAGGCCTGATCTCATGACCAACCCCTTTTTTGGATCCAGAGGATGAGGTTTTCACCCTCCTTACCGGAGTAATTCTTAACTTACACTCTAAGTGGACGAGGCCTAGCCTCTTCGTCTAGTACAGACACATAGTTTGTAGGCAAAGCCGAAGCTACTTGGTCTTGGACCTGCCCAAGAAGGATCGCTTCATACTGCATGAGGTCTTCAGCACGTGCATTTTTCACATCAGGGCCTTGTGAAACAAGAAACTCCATGTACTCTGGACCCAAAGATGCGGTCAGCTTATCAAGCGCGACCTTTTGAACCTCAGAGAGGGGAGTGAGGTTTCCCATCCCCACAGAGGATCATTCTAAAATAGGCTCAGTCGTAAGTTGACTACAAGTTCTACCAAGTGTAGCGGAGCCACACAGCTACTTAAGTCAGAGGAAGACTAAACGCTGAAAGAGAAACTTAGCCCTAAAGAACTAGACTAAATGAGTCAACAAGCGTAAAGCATATGGTCCTTGTTCCAGGGGTCAAACGATTTAACAATTCGACAGCACTTAGAGCTCAAGATTCACTAGCTACCTCAGGGAAGTGTTGCTAACTCTTAGTCATCAGCAATCAACGACCAAAGACGCCTCGCAAGACACGTGTCTCTAAGATCAAAAGAGAAACTGAGTTTTATCTACCTTTAACCCTATGGAATATCTTAATCCTCACATAGACACGTATGTCCTAATTTAGTACAACTTAGATCTCTCCTATCTGGTATCTGACATCAATCAGCCCCTATAACCGATACGCTATTCTAAATCTCTTTCTGTGGGACATCATCCGTGTGTCTAAGACACAGGGTACCAGGTATTCAATTATTTGGGTCCCTGTTGACATGCAGATTCTTGTTTCCATATCTTAATGAAGGAAATTATCATCTCAGCAGCCTTCATCTGGAAGGGGAGAGGTAACAACCCAACGGAATGACATACCGATAGCAAGTCTACTTATGCTACGCACTTAGATCAACCAAGTCACCGACCAAATCACTTCGTGGACCCTGTTCCACGCAGCTTCCGTCTTTTACAATCGTGATACCCCTTAAGGTCTGTTTTGGGTCTTTGCAGACACATAATGTTAGTTAATGAGTCATTCTGGTAGTATTCCCTGTAAAGAATGACATACTTAATCTGCCTAACAAAGAAATATTGCAGTAGGACCGCAGCTGGTTAAAGGTACGTTGATGTGATCAGTTCCTAGCATCATCAAATTTACTTAAGATATGGTATGATGACACAAATGTTACGTGATAGTCTGCTTGGGCCTCCCGCATCGCCAGTGTTCGACGGAAAACACCAGTGCAAAAGGAGAAGAGAGGAAGTATGGCATGTTAGTGATTAGTGTTTAAAGTTAGCCTATAACGTCCTCAGTTCAAATCTTAAATTAAAGAGCTCAAGCACTTCATCATAACAGTGATAAGTCACTGATGTGTCAAAAAGAACTCCGGCGTGTGTAAAGCTAGAGAGCGGACACGTCATTATCCTGATAAAAAGAAGTGGGAATAGAAAGATTGCGTTATAGAGTTTGACGAGACGCCCTGCACGATCAATATTAGTATTAGAAGGTAATCTAAATGAAAGGGGGCACCGAAGCAACAAACTGGACAACGAGTGTGGAGCTACTATCACTTACTGTAGCGTTAGTGGTGTGTAAAAGGGTAACGCGTAGTTGGGTACCCGGTACCCTGTGTCTTAGACACACGGATGATATCCCACTGAAAGAGATTTAGAATAGCGTATCGGTTATAGGGGCTGACTGGTGTCAGATACCAGATAGGAGAGATCTAAGTTGTACTAAATTAGGACATACGTGTCTGTGTGAGGATTAAGATATTCCATAGGGTTAAAGGTAAATAAAACTCAGTTTCTCTTTTGATCTTAGAGACACGTGTCTTGCGAGGCGTCTTTGGTCGTTGATTGCTGATGACTAAGAGATAGCAACACTTCCCTGAGGTAGCTAGTGAATCTTGAGCTCTAAGTGCTGTCGAATTGTTAAATCGTTTTGTCCCCTGGAACAAGGACCATAAGCTTTACGCTTGTTGACTCATTTAGTCTAGTTCTTTAGGGCTAAGTTTCTCATTGAGCGTTTAGTCTTCCTCTGACTTAAGTAGCTGTGTGGCTCCGCTACACTTGGTAGAACTTGTAGTCAACTTACGACTGAGCCTATTTTAGAATGATCCTCTGTGGGGATGGGAAACCTCACTCCCCTCTCTGAGGTTCAAAAGGTCGCGCTTGATAAGCTGACCGCATCTTTGGGTCCAGAGTACATGGAGTTTCTTGTTTCACAAGGCCCTGATGTGAAAAATGCACGTGCTGAAGACCTCATGCAGTATGAAGCGATCCTTCTTGGGCAGGTCCAAGACCAAGTAGCTTCGGCTTTGCCTACAAACTATGTGTCTGTACTAGACGAAGAGGCTAGGCCTCGTCCACTTAGAGTGGAAGTTAAGAATTACTCCGGTAAGGAGGGTGAAAACCTCATCCTCTGGATCCAAAAAAGGGGTTGGTCATGAGATCAGGCCTGATCAATCTTGACCATCAACAGGTCTCGCTGGCTATCTCAAAGCTCGACGGAAGAGCTAGAGAATGGGCCTTGACGTGTAGCACGTCGGTTGACCTAGCATTCCCCACATGGGAGTCGCTAGAGTCACAATTACAACGGTTGTTCTCACCACCTAACCAAGCTTACCGCGAGCGTTCACGCTTCTTATCAACCCTTCAGGGTAAGGATGAGTTATCGGAATATGTCCAAGAGTTGACAACTCTCATGGCTGCAATGCAGTATGACCCTCTGCCCGAGGCAGTTCATGTGACTATCTTCATGGAAAGTCTTCGTACTCGCATTGCCAGAACCGAAGTTTTTCGAGTTCACCCCTCTACGTTCGAAGAGGCCGTGGAAATTGCTCTTAATGCTGAGCATAACTTCAAGTCGGTCAGCCTTGGATGGAATGGGTACAACCCTTTCGCTGCGAGAGCAAACTCCACGAGTGGTCCAGCCTTTAATACGCCGGAACCGATGGATCGCAGCTATGCTGAAGATGAAGGTGAAGTTGAACTTCAAGCTGCTGAGCAGCAACGCGTCGTACGACGATGCTTTACGTACGGAAGCACTAAACACTTGCGGCTTGGTTGCACTTTGCGTAAACAGCGTCAGGCTACAAGCCAACACTCAACCCCGAGCCAGAAGTATGGCATGGCACGGGAAAATGCCGACGCCCAGTAGGCGCGGGCGCCCTACTGGGAAACAACTGGGCTCTGTTACACATTTAGGAGGTAAAGTTAAACAGAGCTTGGCCCCAAAGTGCTACGTACCTATTGGTATGGAGCGTGGATACAAGTCTGGCTTGTTAGTCGCCGAGGCGAAAAATAAGGGCTTTGAGAGGCCTTGGTCGATATTGATCGACTCTGTAGCGTCTTGCAATTATGCTCGACTTCGTTCCCTTGAGGGGAGTCAGCTTTATGCTGAGGCGCTTACAGCGCATGAGGGTGATTCGACCACGGTTCGTTTAGCGACTGGAAGTCGTGTTACTGTGCCTAAAGTTCCATTGAACTTAGGTATACAGCTTTTAGACTTTGACAGCATTGAACGCTGTCTTGTCCTTGATTTGGACTCGATATATGATCTCATCCTCGGTATGGCTTGGTTTGAACACCATGAGCCATGGATTTATTGGAGGTCTAAGACCTTAGGTGCCACACGCAACGTTCCTAGTGAAATTTTGGAGAGTCATGAAATCACCTTCGCTAGGCAACAGAAGCACTACTGGCGCGAGCCTTTGGCAGAAGGTGTCCATGTTCTGGACATTGGAATGTCTAAGTTGTCTCACTCCAATGTTGTAAACATAGGTTCCGAGCGTAGCACGTTTTGTATCGGTGATACGGCACGTACTCCGTCGAGTGTTACTCGTTGTGATAACGATTCACTGCATGCTGAAAGCATGGTTGGCCTAGGGCCGGATTATCAAGAAAATGATTCCTTTGATGTGCGTGAGGTGGCACGTGAAATTCACCGAGTGTGGGCGGCCTTGAGGGCACCACACTTAATGTCGGTAATGACGTTGTTGGCGAAACGCCGTTAGGTTCGGGGATCGGCCCGCATAATGTACGTGGAGTGGTACGTGGAAATCGACTGGTGAAGAGTTCGAGTTATGTAACACTTCACCGGATGTCGATCAAGACATCGGATCTAGTATAGAGCGCACTACTGTTAGTAGTAATAAAGGGGGCAGTAGTGTCCCGACCCCCAAGGGGTGTAAGGTCTCCAAGAGACGACCTGGACGTCAGGTGGCAACTGTGAAGTACCAGGCGTACACACATTCACTGCGCGATAACAGTAATACACTATATACGCTTGTGAATGGAGTGACCAGTCAGGTAGATGACAATTTTAGCCTGGAAACCCTTCTATCTTTGGATGCTCTGTGTGAGCTAGACGAAATGTTTAATGGCGAGTTTAGCCAGGCCTTAAAGGCAGGAGATTTATCCGAATTAGTGGTCATTAAACCCGATGTCGAGTTGAACTCGTCCTCGTTAATGGATGAGTCTGTCCTAGAGGACGCTAAGGCGGCACTCAGTGCGCGAAGTGGATCTTCGATCCTTAACGATCCTTTGGATCCATTTAAGCTTTTGGTTAAGGAATTTCTAGATGTGGTGTGTCACAACACACTATCTATCTTACCACCTGATAGAGGTATACATCATGAAATTCACTTCGTTCCAGGAACTAAATACTGCGTAACACGGCAGTGGCCATTGCCTAAGGAACAGTGTGACTTCATTGACGAGTTCTTTCGTGCTAAGCACGCGGCTGGAATGGTTCGTGAGAGTAAATCTCCCAATTCAACACCTATATTTTGTGTCAAGAATCCAAATGGCAGGTGGCGCATTGAGCATTCTTATAATAAGCTTAATGCAGCAATTATACCGGCGCAGACGCCTATTCCTAGAAATGATGTTCTTCAGAACAATATGGTAGGGTTTGCATTGTACAGCGCATTCGACTTAGTCGACGGTTATTACCAGTTCCTCATGCGAGCGAGTGATATTCCGTTAACTGCGGTGAGTACTCCGCGCAGTATACTCTGTGAGTGGATCGTTATACCACAAGGGCTGTCGAACGCCCCGGCTAATTTTAACCGTCTGGTGACGACAACTGATCAGACCTCATTGAAGTTACGCAAAAACTTACTTTGACGACATCTTTGTCCATAGTCGTGCAGCTATTGATCGACAAGATGTGGATAACCACATTGATCATTTACGAGCGGTGCTCGAGTGCATGCGCACGAACAAATTGTACGCTAACGCGTCTAAGCGCACCTTTGGTGCAGGAAAAATTTCCTTTCTAGAGTGCTTCGTTGGGAAGTGAGGCCCTCGAGCAGACCCCGCTAAGTTGAAGGCCATAGTCGACTGGCCGGTTCCTAAGAACCAAAAGGACTTACGTAAGTGGCTTGGCCTTGCCAATTACTTGCATAAGCATAGTGCGAATTACGCAGACATGGCTATTATCCAATCTCTTAAAAAATGATGTGGATTGGTTTTGGGTTATTCCAAGCCAATGTGGATGTGGATTGGTTTTGGGTTATTCCAAGCACGATGATTTTAAAGCGGTTGAGGATAATCTCCTTCGTGCGCCAATATTGGCTTTGCTCAATCTTGATCGGCCCTTCAGTGTCGTTTGTGACGCATCTGACTTTGCCATTGGCAGTGCTCTGTTACAAACAGATGCTGATGGACGTGAGCGCGTCATTGCGTTTGAGTATCACCAGCTTAAAGCTGATGAAAAGAACTATCCAGTTCATGACAAAGAACTACTTGATATGAAGTATGCTCTAGTCAAATTCATAGTACATCTGCTTGGATCAAAGCCGTTTGTGATCTATACAGATCACGCGTCATTGCGCACTGCGACACAGTCGCCGCATCTCTCTCAGAGAATGGCTCGTTGGCTTTCCTTCTTTGCCGAATATAACCTCGAGGTGAGTATAAGCCAGAAAAGAAAAATGCATTGGCTGATGCGCTATCGCGCCGACCTGACTATGAGCTTGCTCATGTTACGACACTGTCGTCTTCAGTCCCTGACTTAATCCGTGCGGTTTATGCCAAGGACTAACAGTGTGTAGCTTTGCTACGGGCTCTTGGGAGATATGAGTTTAAAGACTCGGACATAACATTGTCGGCACATTTACGTGCGAGGATACATCGATATTTCATCGATAATGGCCTGTTGTGATATCGCGCAGATATTGAGGATACCCCTCGTATCGCTGTTCCTCATGAAGAGAAGTTGAGGTATCGAATCCTCTACGAGGCACATGATACTGCTTTAAGTGGTCATCTCGGTCGTGAGAAGACCTATGGCTCAGCGACCCAGGATTATTGGTGGCCCAAGATATAATAATGGGTGAGCACCTGTATGCGTACGTGCGAAAAGTTTAAAAGAGTCAAACCCTCAGCACAAGCGGCGGCGCCGCTGGCTAGTCTACCTGTACCCACTGGGTGTTGGGAATGCATGATTATGGACATTGTGTTCGGCCTACCGAAAGATTTGGAAGGAAACACTGGTTTTGTGGTCTTTGTTGACCGTTTGAGCAAGATGGCTCATTTAGCGGCTTTGCCGGATACGATCGATGCTGAAGGCAAGCAAAGCTGTTTACCGGTCGTGTGTTTCGAAAACATGGTTCGACTGCGGCAATTACATCTGATGGAGATCCCCGCTTCACTGGGAAGTTTTGGAAGTCTATCTTCAAGGTGCTCAGCATCCGATTGGACATGTCCACGGCGCATCATCCGCAGACCGATGGTCAAACTGAACGTGTTGATCGCGTCCTTAATGACATTTTGCGCAGTGTTTACGCTGATACGCCACGGCTTTGGAGTTCAATGTTCCCTGTTGTTTAATTTGCATTAAAAAACGCTGTTCATGCCTGCACAGGCTTTACTCCGTTTTGCGTAAACGGTCTCACCCCTCCTCGCGTTCCGTTAACGCTACCACTCTTTGGCTCAGGGCTTAGTGGGGGAGATGTTGCAGATCGGCTTGCTGATATCAATCCTGCTACTGTTATAAAAACAGGTAGGCGGGTTCCTCGCAACGCGATTAAATGTCTAATGACATGTGCGTGACGCAATGGCTGATAGCCAAGATCAACAAAAGCAACAAGCTGATGCCAAATGCAGAAATTGTATAGAAAGTTATAAGGTCGGAGAACAAGTATTACTCAATGCTTAAAACCTACCTACAAATGTAGTGTCTGCTGTCTTCAAGACAAAGGTGCATCCACGCTTCATCGGACCGTTTACGGTCACTGCCAAGAAGAACCTTGCGTATACGCTCAACCTTCCACGCAAATTGCGCACACACCCTGTGTTCTTCGTAAACTTACTTAAACCGTACCAGGATCCTTCCCATGTGAGCTATGAGGTGCTGGCGCCGACGCCGATAACGGTGCCCTGGATTGCAAAAGGCGAATCAGCAAGTCCAACTGAGCCTCGCTCCGAGTTTGAGAATGCTCCATCGCCTGAAGGCGGCTCTGCATCGCATCAAGCATGCATCGGGTGTTCCATAAAGTCTCTTAAAGACCCTTCACTTCGAGAACCAATTTCTCGTGGAATGCCACCGGTACGCCTGGGCCGCCACCGACTTTGCTCGATGAGCATGGGTGTCGTCAGTTTCATGTCAAGAGACTACTGAAACGACGTCGTCGTCACGGCCACTACCAGTATCTGGTAAAGTGGCGTGGGTACCCTGAGTCTGAGAACTCATGGGAATACAAGGTACCCCCGCGGCAAGATTGCCCTCATGCTTTGGATGTTTTTGAACATCGTAACCACGGTCATCTTGAGACCGAGGCCGTTTCTCACCACTAGTGGTGTGGGTTGGCGGTTTGGTGGTTATAGTTTGACCAACACTCGCGGCTACCGTGGTATCCGAAGAATATCATGTGGGATTACACAATTAGCCTCTGGCCTTAAGCTTGGCATAGTCATACCAAAGCTTGCGTTCGAGACTCACATCAGACACATTGACAATAGCTCTTAGAGCAGACATACTGCTGAGGCGAAGTATTCGGTTCGCCCAGCGTACAAAGGCCTTGTCTTATTCTCTCTCTGTTTCGCCTGCAGACAAGAGAATGGGTATACCCTTGATCGGTGGGACCGGTGCGCCACGTGCTTGCATGTCAAGGCGTGCCTTGTATTGACCTTGGGTCGTTAGGTGAGGCTCCAGGTACCTCTCGCGAAGTGCCTGACCGCTCGCCACCTCCTCAGGAGACTTAGGCCTATGGCCAATGATCCACATTGCCAACGATTGGCCGGCAGCTTGACACAAGCGTTCCTCCACACTGGGTGAAGTGAACCCATAGTCACGTTGGTGCTCGAGGGTTGCGAGCATTTGCGCATGGCGCCGAGTGCATTCTCCTTGTTGAAAAAGTAACTCTTGCTGCTCATCGAGCGGGGTCGTAATGATGGTATCATCCGAACCGGGTGTTGAGCGCGGCGCCAATGGCGAAGTCTCATCATCACGTTCAGGGAACGGAAAAGCGGCAGTACGAGGTTGTACCTCAGACATGGATGTATCGGACATTGTCCCTGCGAGGTAAGAAGTTGTACCTCAGACATAAGTGTATCGGACATTGTACCTGCATCACCCGGGACACTATTATCGCCACCATTGTCCACAACCTCCCCTATTTCGAGGTAATCACTGAGAGTCTTTGATTCTTTAGGTCATGAGGACATCGCGCTAAAAGCTTTGCGCTACCGTAATGAACCGCAAGTACACAGACCTCGTGGAAGAAGAAAGTTCGAATGGAACGTTCGATTGGAACAAGGTTCGATTGACGTTTTAGGAAACGTTAGTCTGGTGGGGGGAGGGTGTAACAGGGTTACACATAATTGGGTACCTGGTACCCTGTGCCTCAGACACACGGATGATATCACACTGAAAGAGATTTAGAATAGCGTATCGGTTATAGGGGCTGATTGATGTCAGATACCAGATAGGAGAGATCTAAGTTGTAATAAATTAGGACATACGTGTCTGTGTGAGGATTAAGATATTCCATAGGGTTAAAGGTAGATAAAACTCAGTTTCTCTTTCGATCTTAGAGACACGTGTCTTGCGAGGCGTCTTTGGTCGTTGATTGCTGATGACTAAGAGTTAGCAACACTTCCCTGAGGTAGCTAGTGACTCTTGAGCTCTAAGTGCTGTCGAATTGTTAAATCGTTTGGTCCCCTGGAACAAGGGCCATAAGCTTTACGCTTGTTGACTCATTTAGTCTAGTTCTATAGGACTAAGTTGCTCATTGAGCGTGTAGCCTTCGTCTGACTTAAGGAGCTGCTTAAATTCGCTACATGGTGCCTCGCTTTCTTTGTAAACAGCGCTGAAGAAGGAGTGAAACCAGGTAAAATTGACTTGAAGCTGGTAAATGTAGAGAAAAACTTTATCAAATATAATTTAGTCCTAGTTTACATGTGCTTGTGTTTATTTCTAACCTAGGTATACTTATCTGCATAAATGCGTGCTGAAGTCTTGCTACTCATTGCGCGCGTCCATCGTTAAATATACCGCTAGAGCGGGATAGTAAGATATACTAAATTAGCTAATCAGTGAGTGTTTCTGAATGTTACCACTTATGGTGATTTTCACGTTCACCATTAACCTTTATGATAATGTTCTAATCAAAAATAATTAAGGGTTATAATGAGGAAACAGGTCCAGCCTGTTACGTAACTTTCCTTTATACGATATTCACCTAAATAATGTCGTGTTGATGTGGTCACCGTTCGAGCACATCAGGGACAGGAAGGACTTGTTTTGGATTGATCCATTCATTTTAGATCTTCATCGCTTGGTGAGAAAACCTTTGCGATGCGCGTATTGCCGCAGCTGCTCCTGACGATGCCCAGCCTCTCGCAGCAAAAGATGCTTTGTCTGCTTGTGCTGTAAATTTTCCTGCATCAACAGTTGCTGTAGATGCACGTGGTGAGTCCTCACGTAATAATGATGATAGCTTCAAAGTGAAACTCAGCTATTTTAGGGAGTCGGACGGTGGCTCCGACTCTAAGAAGACACCTAGGTCTCCCGAGTCTATAGGGGTGGCCGAATGCGAGCCTCCCAGTAGGAACCGAGCGGGTTGTCAGACTCATCGTCACTTCAAGAGTATGTTTATTTTGGATGATAAGCATGCTGACTCGTCCCTCGCGCCTGCTCTGCGCATTCACAGTCTAGCGAATGCGATGATAGATTCTACAACCGTGATGACGATACTTGTGGTGCCGAGACTAATTTTGGTACCACGAAGGAGGATACATACGCCAACGTGTTGCGTCTAGTCCCTGAATACAAGCCTTGGGTATGTCCAGAAAGGCTTGTGAATGACCTGTCAGGCGAGACGAGTCGTCAGCAAATTCCATTACTCGATGCGAGGTTGTTGCACGGCCTAGAAATCAGCGCTTGTAACTTTTGTGCTTTATAAGACTTCCACATGTATTCCTTTATGAAGCATCATTGTTGTAGTGGCGACTCTAAGCGAGATAAAAGCTCGTTGATGCAGGCGTGGAACGCTTTTATACTCAATGTGCAGCACATTGGGTGCGAAGCTTGGCTTCAAAAGCTCAACACATATCGTGTAGATATGAGAAACGTACCTTGACTGTAGAAAAAGCCAGATAGCACTTTCTGTCTTGTGAAGCAGGAATATTACGCCTCACATGGGTAGACCCATGTCAGTTTTGTTTCAGCAACACTCAGCGCATCCGGAGGGATGCGTGCTTCCTTTCTTCGCCCTGGGCTAGGGCACAACTCTTCTGAGATGTGCGATACGATTTCTAACCTGCAATCGCTCTACCAGCGCAATGGGCGCGTGTTTATCGATGACCTTTCTGAGCCATATGATGTGTCTACTCGTACTGGTGGACGATACCCTCAACATCAATCATCAGCTGGGCGCAAGCCTACCAGCTGGCCTACGACGGTGGATCACTGCTACAGCGATAAAGATAACTCGCTCGCTCCCCCTTCACGTAGAGGGAATTTTAGATACGCTCACGTGAAAGCGTTGAGTACCGTGCGAGTTCACCAATGGCTGTAGTGGGGGTAATAATTCTATCTCCAAATGTTTTTTGTTGAAGTTGCAGGCGGAAGTTGGTAGTATTCAGAAAGTCGTACACGATCTGCGTGATCTCACCGAACAATAGAGAAGGATCATCTCCCCTTGGAGGTGTAGGTGCAAGGCATCCGTCTTTACGGATCATAAGACGAATCGGAGATTGCATTTTTACCAATTAAATAATGAGCGGAAGCGTCAACACTTTCGTGACGAAGTGGCTGACGTTTGGCGGCACTACAGAGCCAGATTGAGTAAGTAACTTAAGAACAAAATAATCCTTTGGGCAATTTTAAGTGTGGAGTTTTAACGCCCGAGGCAGAGACCTCGTGAGGATAGTACGGGTGGAGACGAACTTTATTAAACGTAGGATGCGTTCGAATCCTGCGAGGCAACTCGATCGTTGCGCATTGCCTTTTTTTGCAATAAAGTACACAAAACGGGCAGATGCACTCGAACAGTTGTTAAATACGTGTTTTGGTGGATTTAATGTAAACAATATCACCAAATCTCCAACATCAAGTTACGAAATTTGCTCTTCCATGTATGTCAACGCTCCATTTTTGCCGGTCCACAGCGTTAGCATGGAATCTTGCACAAAACGAACCGCTTCTTTTCGAGTCAGAAATGTTTTATCTGCTGATTCTAATGTATCTGTATCAGTACGATTTATGCTAAAAGATCATATTATTTGGAAAGGTGTCATTATCCTCGCTGGCATAGTAATAAGAGATGCTGAATATACTAGCATCGTCATCCTCGACTAGGTCAGCAAAAGTGTCGTCACTCTGTCTAATTTCAAGATCTTCGATGACGATTTAATCGACATCGGCAATGTTCGGGTCGTCGAGTTCCTTGACACGTTGTATTCAAGATCCAAAAAGGGTTTTGATTGAGCGAATTCACTTCCCCCTAAATCAGATTCACACTTGAAATGAATGGGTAGGCGTGGATGGCGGAATCCATTCACGAAAAATTGTGGATGCGTTATTGATGCATGCACGGAGCTACTGATGGCAAACTCCACCATCGGAAAAAGATCGCCCCTGTCTGTGGAAGATTGGACGTATCCTCGAAGTACCTTTTTAGGGACGCAATTGACGCGCTCTGACTGACCATCTTTCTCGGGATGGTTAAAGGTAGACACAGATAGACGCTGTCCGAGATAACGGTCACGGGGTGCCTAAACGCCGCTGTGAATTCGAGGGTCTCTATCAGAGACTAGTTCTTAGGGCAGACCGTGAAGTCGAAATACCGTGTCACTAAAGACAAGGACATAGTTCTATGCTGTGACTGACTCCCGAACGGCAGCAAGATTTGCACCATCTTGCTGAGAATATCAACGAACGCAAGAATCATTATTCTTGTGAGCGTCTTTAGTTAAAACGAAGACAAAGTCCATTGAGAAGGACTGCCTGCACTCTGCCGAGATTGTTAGAGGTTGTAGTGCAGCACTTATGAAAGACTAGGCTTCACCCGTTGGCACAATTCGCAAGCCCTAATGTACTAGCTCACATACTGATTCTGGCGGAACATTGAAAGTCGCGAATTACCGTGAGAAAAATCTTCTCACACCTAGATGCCCACCGGATGGTGCATATTGACACTCATATAAAATCCGCAAGCGCAAATTATTACGAGTGAGGACTAATGCAAGGGGCGTGTCGCCTAAAACGGCTGTATAATTACAGATACCCGTTGCGCATTGTGAAACGGGTCGCGAAGGATCGATACAAGGCCGGTAAATCTTTAAGACATCTACAGTATGACGTTATCAGATGACACAATTGTCGCAGAAGAGCCTAATCTTTTGCATAGGCCTTATTGATGTCGTCAAGCAATGTTGACAACGGAACACTAGTGACTATTGTTGCAACAGTGATTATAACCCCACTATTGGACTGCGCAGCCGACTCGAAATCGATTTGGCGCATTTTTGCACCCGCGACGACATAAAGTCGTCCAGTTTCGTACACAACGGAGAAGTTGTTTTACAGAAAGAAGGACGGTCGCCTCGCCATCCATTTCGAGAGGTGTTGAAAATTTACGGCCGTGCGTAATGACTCATGGTCCCTTAATACTTCAAACGGCCTATCTACATGGATATAGATATAAATTGGCTATCCAGGGCACACTTCGTAGTAAGGAAATACTTGTCATGTACCGGATAATTACACTCAGTTGCTTGCAGCTGACACGATTAAAAAACAGATGAAGCGCTTTGCGCCGTCTGCATCATACTACATTCATGCGCAGCCAATTTAGAAATCGCTGGCGTCACAGATCAAGTGGAATGGTTAGTCCTGATCTACAATCGCCAAGCTCCGCAATTGAAACAAGCTCTGCTTGATAACTTTAACGGATCGCTGCCAATCAGCGTCCCATGACCCCTTCTCATTTATGCTATAAGACGAGAGAGATGGAGGGTCATCTAGGAATAGTTGCACGAGTACTTGTTTAAGTACGCCGATAGACC